CCATTCAGACAAGCAACACGACAGATAAACCACCGCCGTCGACGTTGGTTCAATTGTCTTTCGTTCAAAGAGTTTGTCTGGCTGAAAACAGTGATCAATTAAGCTTCCACTGATTAATAACTAACATTCAGGTTCATGACCTCAGTTGTGCAAGGGGCTTCTCTGACACTGTTCTTCTATCCTCTCCGCTCGTCGTCTCTCCGCATGCTCTTTGCCTACCATGGTTATAATCACGATGATGAAGCCTTGATCATTTCTGGACTCTGCTAGCATCCGTGATTTCTAGGAATTACTCCATACGCAGATGCCATTGGGGTTACACGCTTACCAAATAACTACAGCCTATTCCACTGATAGATGGAGAGCAGTCCAACCGAGACCGCTTTCGCACCCTCCCCCAATGGCCTCAAGATATTCCCGAGGCCGAAACGGAGCCGAACGACTCTGAACGAAATAGATCATCCCTATGCTTCCGACCAAAGTTCACGAACCCCTTCCCTCGATATACGGCCCTCAACGAGTGGGGGCCCCAGCCAGGATGCGGCGCCGACTGGCCTTGCCAAACTTATTCCAGGAGTGAAAAGGCGACAACGAAAGAAGGCGAAAGGCGGGAACAACGAAAGTTTGGTGGATCTGAATAGCGATATTTCAGGAGAATCTCGGGTATCGCTTCCAGCGGTGGAGATAAATGGGCAACGTCGCAGGTCTATGACCGATCCTGGCAGCAACCCACTGACGGATGATTCGGAGTCTGAACTGTACGTTACACTGGCATGGTTTTCTTGTGATGCGATGAATAAATCTAATTAACATTCTCGCATGGTATCTGCCATCAATTACTGTTTGCTTTGTTGTCTTGCACGTACATTCTACCGACCGGGACTGACATACTGAAACGTTTTAGGTACTCTTCGAAAGGTTCACATAAGCTCCATCGTGGTGGTACATCTCCGATTATCACGGTATCAGATCCATCGATTCATGAAGAAAGTCAAAATGCATACGCCGCTGCTTCAGTTCCGAGCTCTGAAACCGCTTCAGATAGGAACCTGTCGATACTACGTTTAGCTACTATTGGAGCACCAGCCCAGGACTCGCGCTCATTGGCGAAGGGAAGTGCGACTTCATCAACGGGACGGAAGCTTAGAGAAGCGTTTAACCCGCGCTCTTCAAATAGAAACTCCAATACCAGTCCTGATCGGGAGTCGTTAAAATCATCTGGGAGCAAAGGCACAAAAGGATTTTTAGGCTCTGGTGCGAGGAGGACAAGTCTTTCGTCAAAGAAAAACAAGAAAGGCCCTGAGGATATTCCGCCGGTGCCAATCCCTCCTAAGCTTGGTGATAGTGATGCTCCTCAAGGCGCTGGTCAACTGGCCTCAACGGATACAACGCCAAGTACGCCGCCATCCAGCGTCAATCCCTCTCTACCAGTAACAACAACAGTCACTCCCCCTACACCAACGGATTCCCGACCCCGAGACTTTGGTACCCGTTTTGTTGACTCTCCCGAATCCATGAACACCTCTGGGGCCCCTGCAAATGCTGCTCTCAATTCCTCCGCTAATACGATGTCTCACCGTCGTGTCCATTCAGCGTCTGCCGCCCATAATCCAAGTAAACTGTCAAACTCAATAACATTGCCCAGTACACCTACCATAGACGACAACAAGTCTTCAGAATCACGGAATAATACAAGCAACCAGGGTGGAGGTGGATTCTTCTCCTCAATGTTCTCTGCTGCGCAAAATGCCGCTTCCACTCTCTCCATTGGTTTGAATCAAGGACGATCTCGTAATGTGACGGACACGAGTGAGCCTGAAAAGCATGGCAAGCAAGAGCAAGCAGGAGAGGAAACCCAGCCGTCATCAGGTCATGATAAAGATATTGAACAGCAAAGAGAACTAGCTGTCAATACTCTTGGCATGGGCGAATTGAACTTCAGCCATCTTGGCATAGATGCATCGGCAGGTGGCGTGGTAACCTCACCGGATGGGGTCGTTTTTACGAAATCCGATCAGGTTGGACCGTCACGGAGAAGCACGGTATCTCAACGCGACGAGATGGCTGCCAGAATTGAAGATCTTAGGGCTGCGAGGGCAGTGACAATGGCATATGAGAAACCCCCTCAAAGTGCGACTTTATCCGTTTCCAACGCCGACGACAACCAACCAGAAGGCCGTTCTACTGTGCTCATTGCTGGATCAGGCAAAGACAGTGGCGGTGAACGCACGCCGCCTGCAGCCAGCATCATTGATGGTGACATTTCTGAACATGTTAAACGGAGCGGTAGTTTACGTAGCCGTCGTGGTATTCGTCGGAAGCGTGGATCGTCAATAACAACTGCCACAAGCATTGGGGGGATTGGACAAACCCTTGGTGTACCGGGCGCTACCTCAAATGTTCCGCGCTTAACTGGCTTTGCCGTTGCGAGTAAGAAGAGAAATCGAGATTTTCACCAACTGTTCCGCAGTGTCCCGGAGGATGACTATCTGATCGAAGATTATAGCTGTGCACTTCAAAGAGAGATCATCTTGGCTGGCCGAATCTATATCTCAGAGGGCCACATTTGCTTCTCCAGCAATATTTTGGGCTGGGTGACCACGTTGGTCATTGGATTTGATGAAATTGTAGCCATTGAGAAGGAATCAACTGCCATGGTGTTCCCCAATGCTATCTCTATCCAAACCCTTCATGCACGACATACTTTCCGCAGCTTACTGAGTAGGGACTCGACATATGATCTTATGGTAAATATCTGGAAAGTTAACCACCCGACACTCAAGAGCTCTGTCAATGGTACGCATATTGAACAAGGTACTGGCGATAAGACTGAAAAAGCAGAAGTCAGTGACGGCGAAACTGCTTCTCTTTTAGAGGACGAAGATGAAGTTTATGACGAAGATGAAGAAGGTGGAATGGCCCACCTTGATGCGGCTCATAGTGCTGCTGATAGTGAAACTTCAGAGGTCGCAAAGCCCCGAAAACCCGCAGCGATGCCAGTATCCTCTAGTACCCCCTTCCAAGCAGCATCTGTAACAGTGGATGATGAAGCGAAAACTGCGGATAAAGCTGCGAACGTATCGAATAGTTCTGCACAGTTTCCCGGGCCCAAAACTCATGCGCCTACGGAATTTACGGATCCTTCTGGGCGTTATGAGAAGGTTGTCAAGGATGAAATAATACCAGCCCCGTTGGGACAAGTGTATTCCTTAGTATTTGGAGCAGCATCCGGTGCTTTTATCTCCAAGTTCCTGATTGAGTCTGAGAAGGTGACGGAATTACAATTCGAAGATGACAAAAAGGGGCTTACTGAGGAGAATAAGACCCGTTCGTATACATACATCAAACCGTTAAATTCGTCCATTGGTCCAAAGCAAACGAAATGTACCAGCGTCGAGCAGTTGGACTTCTTTGACTTGGAAAAAGCGGTACTGGTGACTCTGACAACGCAAACCCCTGATGTCCCGAGCGGAAATGTGTTTTCTGTTAAAACGAAGTATTTATTCACTTGGGCCCCGGGCAATTCCACTCGATTCTTCATGTCTTGCGCTGTGGAGTGGACTGGAAAGAGTTGGATTAAAGGTATGTGTCGTGCGCGATTGCTGTCAACTTGATACTAATGTTTTTTAGGTCCTATTGAAAAAGGTGCCAACGATGGCCAACTTGGCTACGGGACCAACTTAGTTAAGGCCCTCAAGGCTGGATTAGCGCCCAAAACGCGCAAGCTGACACCCAAAGGTGCAACTAAGGGCAAAACTAAACGTGCGCGAGCAGCTATTTCTGAGATAGACACGGGCAAGGGTGAAGCCTCTACAGCTGATAGGGCTAAAGTCGCTAATTGGGGTCTTTTTGAACCATTACGAGGGCCTCTTTCCCCGATTCTCGACACGTTTCAACCATTCTGGAGGTCAGATGTGGCTGTAGTAGTCCTTTGCAGTTTACTATTCATGATGTGGTACCGCGCCCCGTCAACTTACGGTCTAGGTTACCATGGAGTTGTTTTACACCCGCTGTCCGTTCCTGAAAGACTAGTCGCTTACGACGAATTGTGGACAAAGGAAGAAAGCGAACTTTGGGATTGGCTAGAAGAGCGGGTCGGAATGGACGGCCTCGTCATACCTGTAGCTGATACTGAGAGATCAGATTCGAAACGGCAGCAACAGCTACGCCAGCAACGCAGACGAGACTACAAGGACGCTGAAGCCAAATTGCGTGACGAAAGAATGTCGGAACGGGAAATTGCAGATGCCATTCGTGTGACGCAGCTTCGGTTGGAGACCTTGCAACAAGCCATTGAGAGGCGGAAGCTCAATCGAAAACGTCAAGCTGAGGATAGGGAGGGCGCTTCAACGAAATAAACATCACCACCATCTTTGCCCCAATAGAATCTTTTTTTTTTTTTTTGAGACATGATACATACAGTCCTTTGATATATTTCCCCTGGTGAGCACTCCTCGCTACGCCGCCGAAATTTGTAGGAGTCTTATTTCCCTTTTCTTTCGTTTCTTTTTATTTTTTTTAAGTGAAAAAAATTCCAGCGTTCTTTCGCGTCTACCCAGTTGCCCTTTTTATGCCCTTCTATCGGGCTTTTTCATGTATCAGAAGGCGTTTCCGCAGAAAACTCGGGAGTTCATCGCTCTTTACATCCACTGTGCTTATACGAGATAACATACAAGGTGCCTTTTTTTTCCTCTCTTTTGTTGTTTCCTTTTGGTGATGTTTAGACTCACTCGTTTTTTAAGCATCTCTTTTCTTGTCTCCTGCTTGGTTCTACGAATCCCTTTCTTCTCCGTGGGTCTGGTGCCTGATCCGTATATAAATTGGTCGATGATATAGTGTTCCACAGCTGTAACCATATATCGATTGTTAAAGATTGAATCATGGTGTCTATTCAATTACTGCTTTTAAGACTAAATTAAATAATGGAAGCTGGCGGAGAATGCGAACATGCTCAAAGGGTGTCGAAGGAAAAGGGGAAAAAAAAAAAGACTTTTAATATTCTCCCGTAACGAGAATCGAACTCGTGGCTGCTGTGTGAGAGACAGCGAGGTTAACCACTACCCCATACGGGATGTTATTGTAACATTTATTAAAATGTTACAATTAACTATGTATCTAAACAGAGTTAGTTATTTGATCGAACAACGGCACTCCTTATGAAAAACACCTCCATCTCCCCACAATCTCCTCGAGTCGAGATAATCATTTGAAATGAAGATGAATTGACTGACGATTTCAACCACTTCTTCTGCTTATCTAACTAGTTATTGAGCCAGAAAAGCTTCATTTCTGGATCCGAATTAGTACATATATTCATCTTGAACGAATGGTGCCCCCGGATCGAGCTCAGAAGAGGAGTTTCAAATCCAACTTCGAGCCTGAATATCGGCGTTCTAATGCCCTAATTTGCAATCATCTCTTCTTCATGGATTCCACAAGAAGAGCTCTGCAATGCAAAACTAAAGCGGCGTATCAAAGAAGATCTTCCCGCTCTCCTTTGTTATTTTTTCTCTGAGGCAGAAAATGGGGTTACACAGGTGGCTTCATGGTGCCGGTTGGCTGCGAAACGTGTTGTTTCGATTGTTGAGACATCGTCAATAGTATTTTGTTTTTCAATCTCCGCAGTGTCTATTTGCGGTATGCAGCCCTGAGCCTGGCTTTGATATCGAGTTGGGCAAAGGTCCATGATACAGCTCGCAGCATCGGATCCCGTTTATGTGGGTTTCAAAGTGTCTGTTTTGCAATCGGTTCAACCATAATCTGTTTGCGAAAGCTATGCTCGATCTCCATCATTGGTCGCGTTGCCCTGGCAGGAATTCCTTTTGACGCTATGTTTGCGTAACCGCCGTTCGACAGACTATATGGAGTACGGGAACTCTGAGTCTCTAGAAACGTTCTTTGCATAAGATCCTCATGCCTCTGCTCGAAGCTGCAGGCAGAAGAATCCTGCAGCTGTTATACCTTATACAGGCAACTCCAGGTCGGTCCTTTTTTCTTCGGGCTTTTCACCATCTGACTGATACCCTCAGCTTGTTCCTGTTCTCCGTTCTGAAAAGGATATATGTATGTCTTTTTTCCGTTCTTTCACTGTATCCTTGGAGTATTTTGTGCCTACCTAGTGAAGTTGTCTAATCTTCAATTTTCCTGAAGCTTTCCAAGGGCTTTTCTTTTTCTTTCTTTTCAATCCTTCCCTGCGGTGAAACTATCATATCATGGATGCAATCAGCAGGTTTCAGTCCTAGGAAATATCAGTGTCGGTACTCTCAAATCCCTCTCACTTGCCTCTCTCATGCCAAAGGATAAACCCTGTCTTAGAATTTTGAACTTTGCCCCCGTGTTTCGTTGAAACAGCAGTGTCATCAAAGCCAATCTGCTGTACTTGAGCTAGTGGAGGAGTTTAAAGTCGCATTCTTTCCTATAGCCAAACAGGCAGCCTGCTCTTCAGAGAGTGAGCACTTTGAATGAAGAAAGTCGCCGGTTTTCAGCTTATCTTGGCTAGCTGAGTGAGAGTCCTGTTGCGACTCTGATACTTGAATCGATTGCTTGCCTGGTCTCTGTCTTTTTTTTTCCTTCTCTCTTCATCATTCCTCTTCTGTCCCAAGTGATCTTTGGCGTTTTTTCTGTCCTTTTCAGTTTCGATTCACAGTAAATTGCTGCAGCGACTACTGAAACCGCCATGCCGGGCCTCACTCAGCTCATTGCCATGCTTGCGGCATTCTTAGTCCTTATTCATGCGAATCCCTCCGACAACGGGCCTTGTTACTTCACCGTTATCCAGGTTGTCAATCCTAAACACATCCGTCGCTCTCCGGAATACCTTTATGCACGAGCCCTGAGCAAGTATGGTCAAGATCACTCTGCCCTTGTGGCTCGTGATATGCTTCAGCTCAATGGTTCTGTCATCGCGACGCCGGAAAAAGATGACGAATCATTCCTCAGCCCCATCACGATTGGAAACCAGACAATGCTGGTGAATATTGATACGGGTTCTGCTGACTTGTGAGTTACAAGACGGAGCCGAGATCCGTCGTATCACGGAGCAGCAGTGTGAGCTAACTATGGCTGTCTAGCTGGGTCTTTTCTTCACTTCTTCCTGAAGACCAAAGAAAGGGACATGTCTACTATACTCCTGGCCCTGATGCTACTAAGTTGGACAATTATAACTGGAGCGTCACCTACGGAGACGGAACCTTTGCTCAAGGAGAGGTTTTCCTAGATAACGTTACACTCGGCGGTGTATCTGTGCATTCGCAAGCGGTTGAAGCTGCTACATGAGTGAGTTATCGTTTCGTCGAGGAAGACAAGAACAACAGCGGTATTATGGGACTTGGTTTTGGTGTTCTCAATAGTGGTATGTCGCAAGACTTACTGCTTTTTGGCTTTTCGTTAATAACCAGTTTTGCATACAGTACGCCCGATAAAGCAGCGCACCTTTTTCGAAAATGTCATGCCTTATCTCGCTTCTCCGGTGTTTGCGACATCTTTGAAGCATCAGGTCCCCGGCAGCTATGATATTGGGTACATCGACAAGCGAAAACATACCGGCGAACTTGTTTACACTTCAGTGAATAATACTGAAGGATTCTGGGGTATTACCTTATCCGGCTATCAAGTGGGAAACGGCACAACGGTCCACATGTCGTTCGATGCAGTTGCAGGTAAGAATTCACTCCCTCCCCTCCCCGCCACCCTCTTTCTCTCTTCCCCTCTCTCCTCGCTTACTGATACACCACAGACACTGGAACTACTCTCGCCATTCTCCCCGATCCCCTCGTGCGCGACTACTACTCCAAAGTCCCCGGCGCAACCCACCACCTCGAACGAGTATGGTACGTCCCCTGCAACACCACCCTTCCCGACCTTGGCCTGGTGATCAACGACAATTACACCGTCTCCATCCCGGGAGAATACATCCGATACTCGAATCCAGACCCGAAAGTAAACAATTGCTACGGAGGAGTGCAGGCCGCGAGGAATGGCGCGGTGCTGGGAAGCATGTTTCTTAAAACACAGTATGTGGTTTTTGATTATGGACAGCTAAGGCTGGGGTTTGCGGCGCAGGCGAAGGGGAATGAGACTCGGAGACTTGGGCGGTCTCGGGGGTTGAGATTGGGGCGTTAGAAGGGGGACTGGTAGTTTGGCTATGTTTTGGAGGAGGGTTTGTTCGTTGGGGAGTGCTGGGAAATGAGCTGAAGGTGATGAAAAGGGAGATAGTCCTTTTTTTCCTTTTTTCTTTTGGTTTTATTTTCCCTTGGCCTTGCATCATCGGATGCTTTAGGTAACTAATGTGAAGCTAGCAGTCGAGATTACTCTGATAAAATGAGATGATGCAGTGAACAAGATAATGAGAGTCCTTATAAGAATTTTCAATTATCTGCGCGCATTCTGTCTCGGACAGAAAAACAGAGAACTAAGCTTGATGTAACATGAAAATGAACCATTTGTACTTTTTGTATGTTTTACATTACTATGTACTAATGTACATACATAGTCATGCAACCATACCAGAATTGGGGATATTTGGTGTACATAAGCATTACTGTAACCCCTACACAGAATCCTGATTCTACATAGACAGCCTGTTACAATAATGGTGTGGCACACTTTGCTGTATGTTGACAGTGAATTTCATCAGCTTATATGCTTTATTCTAGAATAATTTCAATCTTCTGCTGATTTATTAAGATGTAGAATCAATCTTTTGCTGATTCTGTAAAATGTGAAATCAACTGCTTAAGTAAATTTCATTTACTTCAATGTGAGACTGAAAATCTGATTGCATCACTTTATTAATAAAATCACTTTATCAGTAAAACTGTTTTACTGATAGAACTGTTTTATTAGTAAAATTGTTATACTGAAATTAAGATTATATTACTTAAAATAAAAATTAATTATGTACAAAATTATAATACATAAATTTTTTATGTACAATGCAAAAATGTAATTGAAGATTCAAAATCAAAATTAAGCTTTTTTGAATTTAAACTCACTGATATAATATATAAATTGAATTTTTGAAATATCAAAAAATTAAATATTTTGTAAAGTGTGTTATTCATCTGCAGAATTGATAAATTAAACATTTTTTTATATTAAATGTTATTGACAAAAAACATTACAACAAAAATTCTTTACTAATTTTTTCAATAATGAATAAAAATAATTTTAATTTGCTCAAATTCTGAGTTTAATGCATGTATGTATTTCATCAGTTCATTTAATAACAATGTAATGCAGTGAAACTCATCTCAAAATGTGAAAATTATTTTTTTAAAAAATTGTATTAATGTAAATCTGAAATTTTATATAATTAAATTATAATTCTCACTGTATAATCTTCAGAGTTTAATCATAAATTTATAACTAAATGATAATTTATTGAAATGTGTAATCAGAATGTTAATTAAATATAAATTTTTATCAGTTTGCAGTTAATATAATATCTAAAATGCAACATGAAATTTTGTAATTTTGTGTATAAAATTTTTCAATTTTTTCTCATCAACATTCTCAACATCTTGTTTGTGAAAATTCATTCATAAAAAACTGTTAATAAATGTAGAACACTCATTGTTAAAAATTTTGATTGTTTTAATGATTAAAAATTTCAACTCAATGAAACTATTTTTCAGTATTAAAAATATAATGTGTCTAAAGTTTTTTTGTATAAACATGATTTTTATTGACATTAGCAACAGTTTACTTAAATATAAAAAAAAAATTATTTTCTCAACATCTCACTTGTTAATTTTTTAATTTTATTTTTTAAATTCACAATGTTTATTTTCTTCAGCAAAAATGTTGCAGTTGTTAAAAAATATGTATTTTTTTGCTTCATTCATGTAATGAATATCAACATGCATGTTTAACTGATTTTTTCATGTTTAAAGTTTTTTTTCAGTTTTTAAAACAGCATTAGTTATCTGTTCTGATAAAATTTTTTTGAATGACATTTAATTTAACACTAAAAATTGTCATGATTTTAATATTAATATTATTTGAAATTTTAATTTAATTAATTTTGCTGTTATCATTACAGTGTTAATTATTTTTTGTAATATAATTTAAT